AACACTTTTCCCAAGGGGATTGATCCATGTTATGGCCGGCTGCGACCCGCTGTCCGAGGTAAGGGCCCCCCAGGGGACCATTAGTGCTGCTGCATCTTGGGCCACACCAAGTACGTTCACCAGGTTCTATAATGTCAACGTGGTCCTTCAGAATCCTCTGGCTCTCCTCTGTCAAATGGGGCTCAGTGACAGAGCTGTTATTGGGTCATTCAGTGTTGTGCCCCGCCCTCTGGTGGCCAGGAGTGATACTGACAGTTTAAAATAGTGTGTGTCTTTGTTTGTGTGGTTGTAACCGAACCCTTTTCCTCTCAGGACATCGAGGTAATTGTGAGCGACGTGGGGAAGGACTCTGCCGCCCAGCGGAAGGACTCTGGCGCCCAGCGGAATACGAACACATGGCACTCGGACACGGGGCACTCGGACACGGGGCCCTCGGACACGGGGCCCTCGGAAACGGGGCCCTCGGACACGGGGCCCTCGGACACGCGGCCCTCGGACACGCGGCCCTCGGACACGCAGCCCTCGGACACGCGGCCCTCGAACACGGGGCCCTCGGACAGTGAGCTTGGTGCAGTTGGGGGTGTGGCCTCCGGCGCACAGCGGCAGTGGGCGCTCACAGACGCTCTGTTCCATGAGAAACCTCTGAGCAATGACGTCCTGCACAAGCATTCACCTGTCGTCGCCTCAGGGCCTCCGCGGCTTCCTCGCCACGCACTCGTTCCTCAACCCCCACGTGCAGCACATGTTACTCGCGTCCCGCCTCCCGTGCCGCCCCCGGTCCCCCTCCCTCCCCTGCCTCACGTGCCCCTCCCTCCCCCGCCTCACGTGCCCCTCCCTCAGCTGCCTCGCCCGCCCCTCCCTCAGCTGCCTCGCCCGCCCCTCCCTCAGCTGCCTCGCGTGCCCCTCCCTCACCCACCTCACGTGCCCCTCCCGGTGCCTGTGCCCTTCCTCATCTCCGACCAGCTGGCCAGGAACCAGTTCCTGCAGCACCTGCCCTCGGAGCTGCGGTTCCGGTACTTGGAGCAGAAGCTGCAAAGCGCAGACATCCTGCGCGGCATGTTCTCCTTCAGCAGCCGCCGCGCGCTGCTAGCAGAGCCGTACCTGTTCAGAGCCAAGATGGAGGACAAGGCGGTGGACACGTCGGACCTGGAGGTGGCCGAGGACCCCATGGGGCTGCACGGTATCGACCTGATCACAGCTGCTCTGCTGTTCTGTCTGGGGGACTCCCCAGGGGGCCGCGGCATCTCCGACAGCCGCTTCGTGGACGGGTACGTGAGCTTTTCATTTGCATTGTTACATTATTATTATTATAGTGTGTGTATAAATATATTATTATTATAGTGTGTGTGTATAAATATATTATTATTATAGTGTGTGTGTGTATATATTATTATTATAGTGTGTGTGTGTGTGTATTAGGGCTGGGCGATAAAACGATAACGATATATATCGCGATAGACATGTGTTCGATATCAATAGAGAATGGGGTCGATAGAATGTTCGATAGTTTAACTTAACTCCGTCAGGAAAAACAGGAAGAAAACACCGGAAGTAAAGCCGACTCATAAGCGCATGGCATTGTGGGGGATGTAGGCAGAGGCTTCTCGACCAATAACAGCCGAGCAGGAACCGCAACACTTTGTGAGAAATGCAAAAACACCAACAACCGCAGCATGCGTAGCGTCCATGGATCTATAGCTCGTGTTTCAATGCTGTGTCAATGGTTATGCACGTACGTGCGCGGAATAACATGTGCGGCGGCAGAGGCAGTGGACACACCCGATGTATTCGGCTAAGGCAAGAGATTAACTTTTTCCTCGGGAAGCATGTGCGGCACAGAGAGCCGCACGGAGCGGTCACGGGGACACAAGACCCTCAAACAGCTAAACCAGGAGCTAAACCAGGACTAACAACGAGGGACACAGTGTGAACATATTCCTCCAGCCTCATCGCCCCGTGACCGTAAACAAGGCTGCTAAGGTTGGTTAGCCCACACAACAAATATATTTATTTAGGTTAAAAAAAAAAAAACTCAATCGTTATCGACCGATATGAATGAATCGTGATATAGTTTTCAGCCATATCGCCCAGCCCTAGTGTGTATATGACACTTTTGCCAGAGCTATTAAGACCAGACCAGGCTCAGACTCTAAAGCCGTGTCTCCTGGTTCTGAAATCACAGGTACCACATGGACTTCGGGACGCAGACCTTCTCCTTCCCGTCCGCCATCTTGGCCACAGACACCATGGTGGGGGACATGTCCTCTGCCTCAGCCTGTGACCACGCCAGCCCCCAGCTGTGTAACCCCTCCCCCTTCCACACGCTGCGCCTGGACCTGATGCTGGAGTGTGTGGCGCGGTACCAGACCCGGCAGCGCTCCATGTTCACGTTCGTGTGCGGCCAGCTGTTCCGCAGGGACGAGTTCTCCTCGCACTTCAGGAACGTCCACGGAGACATCCACGCGGGGCTCAGCGGCTGGATGGAGCAGCGCTGCCCCCTGGCCTACTACGGCTGCACCTTCTCCCAGAGACGCTTCTGTCCTCAGGCTCAGGGCGCTCGCATCATCCACGACCCTCACCTCGGGGCATTCGGACTCAGACCAGGAGGGAGAGGGTCTGAGGGAGCCAGGTACTGAGGAGAGAGACCAGAGACCAGAGAGAGAGACTAGGAGGGAGAGGGTCTGAGGGAGCCAGGTACTGAGGAGAGAGACCAGAGAGAGAGACCAGGAGGGAGAGGGTCTGAGGGAGCCAGGTACTGAGGAGAGAGACCAGAGAGAGAGACCAGGAGGGAGAGGGTCTGAGGGAGCCAGGTACTGAGGAGAGAGACCAGAGAGAGAGACCAGGAGGGAGAGGGTCTGAGGGCCTCCTCAGCCTCCCCGGTAAGTTCTACTCCAAGGTACTGGAGAGGAGGCTACGGCCGATGGTCGAATCTCTGATTCAGGAGGAGCAGTGTGGTTTTGGTCCCGGTCGCGGAACACTGGACCAGCTCTATACTCTCCATCGGATACTCGAGGGTTCATGGGAGTTCGCCCAACCTGTCCACATGTGCTTTGTGGATTTGGAGAAGGCATTCGACCGGGGTGTCTCCGGGAGTACGGGGTCGGAGGTCCTCTGCTGAGGGCCGTCCAGTCCCTGTATGACCGGAGCCAGAGCTGTGCTCGCATCGCCGGCAGTAAGTCAGACCTGTTCACGGTGAATGTTGGCCTCCGCCAGGGCTGCCCTTTGTCACCGGTTCTGTTCACTGTATTCATGGACAGAATATCTAGGCGCAGTCAGGGGCCGGAGGGGGTCCGGTTCGGGGACCACAGGATTTCATCTCTGCTGTTTGCAGACGATGTTGTCCTGTTGGCTCCAACAAACCAGGACCTGCAACATGCACTGGGACGGTTTGCAGCCGAGTGTGAAGCGGCTGGGATGAGAATCAGCTCCAAATCCAAGGCCATGGTGCTCGACCGGAAAAAGGTGCCTTGCCCTCTGCAGGTGGGTGGAGAGGCCCTTCCTCAAGTGGAGGAGTTCAAGTATCTCGGGGTCTTGTTCACGAGTGAGGGAAGAATGGAGCGTGAGATTGACAAGCGGATTGGTGCAGCGTGTGCAGTGATGCGATCGCTGTATCGGACCGTTGTGGTAAAGAGGGAGCAGCGTCTGTAGTCAGAGCTGCCTGTATTGGACCGTTGTGGTCCGATACAGATACCGGTCAATCTTCGTCCCCTCCCTCACCTATGGTCATGAGCTGTGGGTAATGACCGAAAGAACGAGATCGCGGATACAAGCGGTCGAAATGAGCTTCCTCCGCAGAGTGGCTGGGCGCTCCCTTAGAGATAGGGTGAGGAGCTCAGTCACACGGGAGGAGCTCGGAGTAGAGCCGCTGCTTCTCCACGTTGAGAGGAACCAGTTGAGGTTGCTCGGGCATCTGTTCCGGATGCCTCCTGGACGCCTCCCTGGGGAGGTGTTCCGGGCACGTCCCACCGGGAGGAGGCCCCGGGGAAGACCCAGGACACGCTGGAGGGACTATGTCTCTCAGCTGGCCTGGGAACGCCTTGGGGTCCCCCCGGACGAGCTGGAGGAAGTGTGTGTGGATAGGGAAGTCTGGGCGTCTCTGCTTAGACTGCTGCCCCCGCGACCCGGCAACGGATGAAGCGGAAGAATATGAGATGAGATGAGATGGGTCTGAGGGAGCCAGGTACTGAGGAGAGAGACCAGAGCGAGAGAGACCAGAGCGAGAAAGACTCAGCTGACTCCCCCTCTCTGTCCCCACAGGAGACCCAGACCCTCAGACCAGCTCAGCAGCCTCCCCTTCGAGGTGCTGCAGCACGTTGCCAGGTTCTTGGACAGTTTCAGCCTGTGCCAGCTGTCGCGTGTGTCCCGCACCATGAGGGAGGTGTGTGGCAGCCTCCTGCAGCTGAGGGGGATGGTGGTCCTCCTGTGGGAGAGGAGGCGCAGGGAGGACGGGGCGCTGTCCTGGGCCATCACAGACAAGGTACTGCTTCATCTGGGGCTAAATGTCTGTCATCTCAGTTCATCATCTAATTTATCTGGTTCCTCTCTGTACTCCCCTTGTCTCTCTCCTCTCCTCCTCTCTTCCCCTTGTCTCTCTCCTCTCCTCCTCTCTTCTCCTTGTCTCTCTCCTCTCCTCCTCTCTTCCCCTTGTCTCTCTCCTCTCCTCCTCCCTTCTCCTTGTCTCTCTCCTCTCCTCCTCTCTCCCCCTTGTGTCTCCCCCTCCCTCCTCTCCCTCCCTCCCCCCTCTCCTCTCTCTCTCCTCTCCTCTCTCCCCCTCGCTCCTCTCCCTCCCTCCCCCCTCTCCTCTCTCTCTCCTCTCCTCTCTCCCCCTCGCTCCTCTCCCTCCCTCCCCCTCTCCCCTGCAGGTGTGGCGCTTCAGCACAGCCTTTGGCACAGTGAGTGAGTGGAAGTTTGCTAACATCAGTAGCATGGCGGACCACCTGAAGAAGTGCAGGTTCAACACAGTGTCGCGGCGCGAGGAGGCGGTGCCCCTGCCTTGTATGTGCTTCACCCGAGAACTGACCCGCGAGGGCCGCAGCCTGCGCGCCGTGCTTAAGCCGGTGGCCTGACCCGGCCACTAGGGGCGCTGTCGAGGCCTGTGCTCTGGACATAGACTGTATACAAGTGGAAAATGCTAACCCGCTAGCTCTCTCTGGCTCCCATTGACTCATGTAAAAGTAAACTCCTTGAGCTCAGGGACTGGATGGAGCTCAGGGACTGCGTGGAGCTCAGGGACTGCGTGGAGCTCAGGGACTGCGTGGAGCTCAGGGACTGGATGGAGCTCAGGGACTGCGTGGAGCTCAGGGACTGCGTGGAGCTCAGGGACTGCGTGGAGCTCAGGGACTGCGTGGAGCTCAGGGACTGCGTGGAGCTCAGGGACTGCGTGGAGCTCAGGGACTGGATGGAGCTCAGGGACTGGGTGGAGCTCAGGGACTGGATGGAGCTCAGGGACTGGATGGAGCTCAGGGACTGCGTAGAGCTCAGGGACTGGATGGAGCTCAGGGACTGGATGGAGCTCAGGGACTGCGTAGAGCTCAGGGACTGGATGGAGCTCAGGGACTGCGTAGAGCTCAGGGACTGGATGGAGGAAATCATAGAGTCACAACAGACGTCATAGAGTCACTTAAACATTAGTAATTAACAATAACGATACTTTGCTCTGTATCCATTTATAGAGGATACGCTGCTTTGGTCCACTTATAACCAAAGCAGCAAAGATAGCTGTAAGGGACAACATCAATTTATTTGCATAGGAATAGTGTTTCTATATTTTCTTTCTGATGCGTGATAGTGGATTAAAATACAATGAGTTTGAACCATAGACTGTATGTTTGAACACGGCCCTGTGCCTTTCTCATCTCCCCGTCGTATGGAAACGTCAGGACATGGCCAGTTCACAGCTAATTCCGACCACTCACTCAGTTTTTCTGTCCCAGAGACGAAATGTGTCCAAAATAACACAGGAAAGTCCATTAACGAGGAAGAAGTCGGCGATCTCAGCACCATACAACTGGCACGTGTGGTTTGTTTGTATCCACGGGTGGAAATCTCGCAAAATCTTGCACTTCCGCTTTCCAGCCCTATTGCATACACAAAATATCGCGATACTGAAGAGAATCGATTTTTTTTCCCACCACGAATGGATATTGTTTTTGTGAATCCAGATATGAGCCATATGAAGATCGACCAATCAGGAGCCTTCCAGCGTGATGTCACACTGTGGTGATGTCACACTGTGGTGATGTCACACTGTGGTGATGTCACACTGTGGTGATGTCACACTATGGTGTCTGGTTTTTTTGTTTTTTGAGTGAATTTAGTGAAGTTTGGATTTGACCAAATGAGAAATGTTCTAATATTGTGGCTGATCCTAGTCTAACAGCCTGTGTCTGTGACGCCTGTGTCTGTGACGCCTGTGTCTGTGACGCCTGTGTCTGTGACGCCTGTGTCTGTGACGCCTGTGTCTGTGACGCCTGTGTCTGTGACGCCTGTGTCTCGGACGCCTGTGTCTCTGTGACGCCTATGTCTGTGACGCCTGTGTCTGACGCCTGTGTCTGTGACGCCTGTGTCTCTGTGACGCCTGTGTCTGTGACGCCTGTGTCTCTGACGCCTGTGTCTCTGACGCCTGTGTCTCGGACGCCTGTGTCTCGGACGCCTGTGTCTCGGACGCCTGTGTCTGTGACGCCTGTGTCTGTGACGCCTGTGTCTCGGACGCCTGTGTCTCGGACGCCTGTGTCTCGGACGCCTGTGTCTCGGACGCCTGTGTCTCGGACGCCTGTGTCTGTGACGCCTGTGTCTGTGACGCCTGTGTCTGTGACGCCTGTGTCTCGGACGCCTGTGTCTCGGATGCCTGTGTCTGTGACGCCTGTGTCTGTGACGCCTGTGTCTCGGACACCTGTGTCTCGGACGTCTGTGTCTCTGACGTCTGTGTCTCTCTGACGCCTGTGTCTGTGACGCCTGTGTCTGTGACGCCTGTGTCTCTGACGCCTGTGTCTCTGACGTCTGTGTCTCTCTGACGCCTGTGTCTGTGACGCCTGTGTCTGTGACGCCTGTGTCTCTGACGCCTGTGTCTGTGACGCCTGTGTCTGTGACGCCTGTGTCTGTGACGCCTGTGTCTCTGACGCCTGTGTCTGTGACGCCTGTGTCTGTGACGCCTGTGTCTGTGACGCCTGTGTCTCTGACGCCTGTGTCTCTGTGACGCCTGTGTCTGTGACGCCTGTGTCTGTGACGCCTGTGTCTGTGACGCCTGTGTCTCTGACGCCTGTGTCTCTGACGCCTGTGTCTCTGTGACGCCTGTGTCTCTGACGCCTGTGTCTCTGACGCCTGTGTCTCTGTGACGCCTGTGTCTCTGACGCCTGTGTCTCTGTGACGCCTGTGTCTCTGACGCTTGTGTCTGTGACTTTTAAATGTGCTTTGTTTTTAAATGTAATTTTTATGAATATTCTTGTTTTTGAAATGTGAGACCATGGGTGACTCTGAGGACCATGGGTGACTGGTCCGTAAGTTTTCAAAAATTGTCAAAATTCAGCTAAAAAAAGAGGTTCATGTTTAACTCCTAGAGCTCTGTCTCCTCTCTCCCTCTCTCTCCTCTCCTCCCCCCTCTCCTCCCCCCTTTCTCTCCCCCCTCTCTCTCCTCTCCTCCCCCTTCTCTCTCATCTCCTCCCCCCTCTCTCTCCCTCCTTTCCTTCCTCTCCTCCCCCCTCCCCCCTCTCTCTGTGTTGTACAGTAAAAATCTCTCAGGGGGCGGAGTCACACCTGGCTGCAGTGTGAGTTTGCAGTGACGCTCAATAAAAGAAATGAAATCTGTTTCTGTCACATTCATGAGACAGGAGGTGCAAGAGGAGGAGGTGGGAGGACAGGGGTGGTGAGACAGGAGGTGGTAGGAGAGGGGAGGTGAGACAGGAGGTGGTAGGACAGGGGAGGTGAGACCGGAGGTGTCAGAGGAGGAGGTGAGAGGACATGGGTGGTGAGACAGGAGGTGAGACGGGAGGTGGATGCAGTTGGTCTCAGAACTATGTGACCAACACCATAAGCAGGAAAAGTATTTATTATTAACTTTATTAAAGTCGTTACAATCAACATCAAACTTCCCGCACGAGCCGCTAACGGCCTCTGGCGCCATCTGGTGGTTTACAGAAGCAACAGTACTATCAGACACATTTAACCAGGAACTGGTACCAGCAACAGTACCATCAGACACATGTAACCAGGACCTGGTACCAGCAACAGTACCATCAGACACATGTAACCAGGACCTGGTACCAGCAACAGTACCATCAGACACATGTAACAAGGACCGGTACCATCAGACAATGTAACAAGGACCTTGTACCAGCAACAGTACCATCAGATACATGTAACCAGGACCTGGTACCAGCATCAGTACCACCAGATACATGTAACCAGGACCTGGTACCATCAGACAATGTAACAAGGACCTTGTACCAGCAACAGTACCATCAGATACATGTAACCAGGACCTGGTACCAGCATCAGTACCACCAGACACATGTAACCAGGACCTGGTACCAGCAACAGTAACATCAGACACATGTAACCAGGACCTGGTACCAGCAACAGTACCATCAGACACATGTAACCAGGACCTGGTACCAGCAACAGTACCATCAGACACATATACCGTTCAAAACACGAACTGTCTACGAAAATACAGACTTTAATGGTCCCACAGAAGGAGCACAGGAGGAGCCAGAGGGCCTCAGACACATGCCTGGTGCAGTTCCACTGCTGTCCACCAGAGGGGGCCACAGTGCGTACACAGAGACTGCAGGTTACGTAATGGGGCGGGCACGTGTTCGTCAGAGTAAATATGACTTTACTTCCTGACTGGTACAGACCTATGGTACAGACACACGTTCAAAGGTGGACCAGGACCAGCACCAGGACCAGCTGATGTGAGTTTCCGGTGTTTGAACTGTGATTCTTTGACCTGTTGTTGCTGTGGTTTAGGGCGACACATAAATGTCATTGAATTTAAATCTTCTGTTGGTTATAAATATAATATTATTTACTGATGTGATAAATGTTTTTATTGTTTGTAAAAAGTTTTGAGCTGTAGTTCCACAGTCATTCAGTGTGATATTGTCTTTCTACCTCCTCAGTCCTGCTCGGTCCTCCTCAGACCTCCTTAGACCTCCTCAGTCCTCCTCGGTCCTCCTCAGACCTCCTTAGACCTCCTTAGACCTCCTCAGTCCTCCTCAGTCCTCCTCAAACCTCCTCAGACCTCCTTAGACCTCCTCAGTCCTCCTCGGTCCTCCTCAGACCTCCTTAGACCTCCTTAGACCTCCTCAGTCCTCCTCAGTCCTCCTCAAACCTCCTCAGTCCTCCTCAAACCTCCTCAGTCCTCCTCGGACCTCCCGCCCTGCACCATGAGCCGCTGTCCTCAGAACTTCTCGTGGGTGGAGCCGGGCAGGTTGGCCGGCCTGGCGTTGCCGCGGTTACCAGAGGAGTACAGGTTCCTGGTGGAGAACAACATCCTGGAGCTGGTGTCTCTGACAGAGAGACTTCCTCCTCAGATCCACAGCTGCCCACAGCTGCAGCTGCACCACATCTGCATCCTAGACTTCACTCCTCCTTCTCCAGAACAGATACACAGGTTCCTGGGCATTGTGAAGGACGCCAACGCCAGAGGCACGGTACGAACCACAGGTGTAATGTGAGGAGACAGGTGTTATGTGAGGTCTGTGACACCGGTGTAATGTGAGGTCTGTAATGCACAGGTGTAATTTGAGGTCTGTAACACAGGTGTAATGTGAGGACACAGGTGTAATGTGAGGTCTGTAACACAGGTATAATGTGAGGACACAGATATAATATGATGTCTGTGACACAGGTGTAATGTGAGGTCTATAACACAGGTGTAATGTGAGGTCTGTAACACAGGTGTAATGTGAGGAGACAGGTGTTATGTGAGGTCTGTGACACAGGTGTTATGTGAGGTCTGTGACACAGGTGTAATGTGAGGTCTGTAATGCACAGGTGTAATTTGAGGTCTGTAACACAGGTGTAATGTGAGGTCTGTAATACATGTGTAATGTGAGGACACAGGTGTTATGTGAGGTCTGTGACACAGGTGTTATGTGAGGTCTGTGACACAGGTGTAATGTGAGGTCTGTAACACAGGTGTAATGTGAGGTCTGTAACACAGGTGTAATGTGAGGTCTGTGACACAGGTGTAATGTGAGGTCAGTAACACAGGTGTAATGTGAGGTCAGTAACACAGGTGTAATGTGAGGACACAGGTGTAATGTGAGGTCTGTGACACAGGTGTAACATGAGGTCTGTGACACAGGTGTAATGAGAGGTCTGTGACACAGGTGTAACATGAGGTCTGTGACACAGGTGTAATGTGAGGTCTGTGACACAGGTGTAACATGAGGTCTGTGACACAGGTGTAATGAGAGGTCTGTGACACAGGTGTAATGTGAGGTCTGTAACACAGGTGTAATGTGAGGTCTGACACAGGTGTAATGTGAGGTCTGTGACACAGGTGTAATGAGAGGTCTGTGACACAGGTGTAATGTGAGGTCTGTAACACAGGTGTAATGTGAGGTCTGACACAGGTGTAATGTGAGGTCTGTGACACATGTGTAATGTGAGGTCAGTGACACAGGTGTAATGTGAGGTCTGTAACACAGGTGTAATGTGAGGTCTGTGACACAGGTGTAATGTGAGGTCTGTGACACAGGTGTAATGAGAGGTCTGTGACACATGTGTAATGTGAGGTCTGTGACACAGGTGTAATGTGAGGTCAGTTACTTTACACACATTATCTAGTGTGTAAAGTGAGAGACCAGAGCGAAAAGGGACCAGAGAGGGACCAGAGAGGGACCAGAGAGGGACCAGAGAGGGACCAGAGAGGGACCAGATGTAATTGATCCGTTTATTTGCCTCAGGTCAGGTTGAAGCCCTCAGACTGTGTTGTTCCCCTCCTCTCCAGGCGGTGGCGGTACACTGTATGCACGGACACGGCCGGACTGGGACCATGTTGGCCTGTTTCCTGGTCCAAACCCGGAAACTCTCCGGCATCGACGCCATCAACGAGATCCGGCGCATGAGACCAGGCTCCATAGAGACACACGAGCAAGAGAAGGCTGTGGTGCAGTTCTACCAGAGGACCAAGTAGAGACCAGAGACCCACTGGACCTGGGACCTGAGACCAGAGACCAGAGACCCACTGGACCTGGGACCAGAGACCAGAGACCCACTGGACCTGGACTAGACCAGAGATTAGACCTGGGAAGTCTGGACTGTGGTTGAATCGGACAGAAATGTGATGTCACATGTTTCTCTTGTAAATAAGATTTAATATAAAGTTTACAAACGAATAAAGTCATTAAAGGGGACGTGTTCTCAATCTGTGGTTTGGGGCCCGGGGGGAGAGACCAGCGAGAGACCAGCGAGAGACCAGAGAGAGACCAGAGAGAGACCAGACCAGACCAGAGAGAGACCAGAGAGAGAGAGACCAGAGAGAGAGACACCAGTGAGAGAGACCAGAGAGAGAGAGACCAGTGAGAGAGACCAGAGAGAGAGACCAAAGGAAGTTCACATTATCATCACAAATAAATCCATAAAAAGTGAAATAAAAATATTCCAGCTGCAAACACAGAAACTGATGAATGACTGAAGTACACATGGTAAAGTACACATAAAGTACACATGGTGAAATACACATGGTAAAGTACACATGGTGAAGTACACATAGTAAAGTACACATGGTAAAGTACTCATGGTTAAGTACACATGGTGAAGTATACATAGTAAAGTACACATGGTAAAGTAGACATGGTGAAGTATACATAGTAAAGTACACCCGGTTAAGTACACATGGTGAAGTACACATGGTGAAGTACACATAGTAAAGTACACATGGTATAGTACACATGGTTAAGTACACATGGTAAAGTATACATGGTGAAGTATACATAGTAAAGTACACATGGTTAAGTACACATGGTGAAGTACACATAGTAAAGTACACATGGTTAAGTACACATGGTGAAGTACACATAGTAAAGTACACATGGTTAAGTACACATGGTGAAGTACACATGGTGAAGTACACATGGTGAAGTACACATAGTAAAGTACACATGGTTAAGTACATCGTTCAAGTTTTTTCTTTATTAAGATTTTAACGTCACAGAGTAAAGCTCTGTCATGGTCCCAGGAGACGAGAGCCTTAAACCTGCACCTCCTGCTGCTCCTCCTGCTGCTGCGCCTCCTACTGCTGAACCTCCTCCTGCCCTGAGTTTTCCACCTGATGAATTAAAGCGTGTTAAAACCTTGTGTTTTGGTCTCAGTATAAATAAAAGTACCTGTTTGTTCACAGACGCTGGAAATGTCTCCGACCTGAAAACAAAGATCAGATCAGAGACGTGTGTGTGTCTGTGTCTCTGTGTGTGTCTGTGTCTCTGTCTGTGTCTCTGTGTGTGTGTGTGTCTGTGTCTCTGTGTGTGTCTGTGTCTCTGTCTGTGTCTGTGTCTCTGTGTGTGTCTGTGTCTCTGTGTGTGTCTGTGTCTCTGTCTGTGTCTCTGTGTGTGTGTGTGTCTGTGTGTGTCTGTGTCTCTGTGTGTGTCTGTGTGTGTCTGTGTCTCTGTGTGTGTCTGTGTCTGTCTCAGATTCAGATTCAGTTTATTTGCCATTTGCAGTAAAAACACCACATAGGAATACATTAGCAAAAGTCTCCAGTGTGCACAGACAAATACAGACATAAAACAACATTAAAAGACAAAACTAAAACAAATAAAACAGTAAACAAATGTCACTGTGAAATCGATCGACTAAAACAGTTTCAAAACAAGTGCAAATCATTAAAGTGCTCTGTTCACACTGATAACAGCCTGTGGATAAAAACTTTTAGCGTAACGAGATGTCCTGCATCTCAGAGAGCGCTATCTTCTGCCAGAGGGAAGAAGCTGGAACATGGCTTTCCCAGGGTGGCCAGAAGAGTCATTAACAATCCTAAGAGCTTTGTTTAAAAGTCTGGATTTATAAAGAACCTCCAGAACAGGAAGCTCACAGCCCACGGTCCTCTTTGCAGAGCGGAGCACCTTGTTTAAAGCTCTCTTTTCTTTATCTGTGATGTTTCCAAACCACACAGACACAGAACCAACAAGTAAACTCTCAATGGTGCAGCGATAAAAGTTAAGCACAATCTTAGAGTTAGTGGTAAATTCTCTAAGTTTACGCAGAAAGTAGAGACGCTGACGAGCTTTCTTAACGACTCGGTCAGTGTTTTTAACCCATTTCAGGTTAGACAGAGTTAAACCCAGAAACTTGCACTCCTCTACGATCTGCACCTGGGAGTTGTCGATTACGACAGGCAAATGAGAACTATTGCGACTGAAGTCGTAGACCAGTTCACATGTTTTGGATGCGTTCAACTGGAGGTTGTTAGTTTGACTCCACTGAACCACATTTTGTATCTCTGCTCTATAAGAGGATTCATCAGTGTCACTGATGAGACCGATGATGGTGGTGTCATCAGCATATTTGATGATCAAGTTTGAGTCAGAGGAGGACACACAATCGTGAGTGTACAAATTAAAAAGCAAAGGACTCAAAATACATCCCTGAGGAGAACCAGTGCTCACAGAAACAACATCAGAAAAACAGTCATTGATTTTCACTCTCTGAGATCTGTCAGTTAAAAAGCTAAAAATCCATTTACACATGGCAACACTTAAACCGAGAGACATGAGCTTTTCCATCAGTTTACCTGGGACAAGGCAGTTAAAAGCAGAGCTATAATCGATGAAAAGCATTCTGGCCACAGATTTACTAGTGTCCAAGTGACTGTAGACAGAGTTCAGAGCAAAGGAGATGGCATCCTCCACACTCCTGTTCTGTCTGTAGCAAACTGGAGCGGGTCAACACTCACAGGGATCTGGCTCTTAATGAAGTCCAGCACAAGCCGCTCAAAAGTTTTCATAAGAACAGACGTGAGGGCCACAGGACGATAGTCATTCAGGCATGTCACAGGAGTTTTCTTAGGAACTGGAATGATGGTCGACTCTTTAAAGCAGTTCGGCACAGTACAGTTCCTTAGCGACAGGTTGAAAATGTCTGTTAGCACAGAGGGGGGGGTTCAGAGTTGCACAAGAGTGGTGTGTGTGTGTGCGTGTTTGAGTGTGTGAGATATGGTAAAAAAAAAAAATAATAATAATAATAAAAAAATAAAATAACAATTTAACAAAAATTAAAAAAGTATATGCACTGTAAATCTATAGACTGGTCCTGCCGCCGATACCATCACCAAAAAGGTTCTAAACAATCCTGGGGGGGATCTGATATACATATTATGACGGGTGTGGTGTAGAGGTGCTAGGATGTGTAGTGTCATGACTGATGCATTAAAAATCAAGCAGGGGTGGCACCAAAGAGAGTTCCCTCTGGCAACCATCCCCGCTGGTGACCCTAATCTGTGTTCGTGAGGAGTTTGCGTGTATATGTATATACATGTTTCTGGTGGTTTATTTATTTTATTTTATTTTTATTTTTATTTCAATTATCATTATTGTTATGATTTATCATTAGGCCCGAGCCCCAACCGGGGTAAGGGCCTATTGCTTTTCCAACGAGTAATGCCTGGGCTTTGCCCAGGCATTACTCGTTGAACTGTCATAAGTCACAATCTCCGGGCGCAGCCCGGAGATTGTGACCTGCACGCGACGGCACGTGCCCAAGCACTGATAAATCCGTGCCGGAGTACACAGTGTTCCTGCTGTAGTACACAGTGAAATGATTGAAGTCCTATTAAAGGGGGGTTCCTTCAACTGTTTTACGGACGAATGTCAAGCCCGACGGCGCGTGCCCAGACACTGACAAAACAGTGGCTTTTTAGGCCCGAGCCCCAACCGGGGTAAGGGCCTATTGCTTTTCCAACGAGTAATGCCTGGGCGAAAAGGGGGGTTCCTTCAACTGTTTTCCCAAGCCCGACGGCGCGTGCCCAGACACTGACAAAACAGTGCCGGAGGCACTGAATGGCATTGCTCCTGCTGTAGTACACAGTGTAATGAATGGGGTCCTATGGGGGGGGTGGGTGACCTCATGATGGCGAGGTGATTGACGAGCGCGTCAGCGCTCGTCAATCACCGAGAACCCAATAGTTGCGTTCGTCTGGTCGTTCGCTTTAAAACGACGTATCGTTTGTATTATAGGTTACTATGGAAACCTATATTGTTTTTGCTCAAAGATTTCAAAAAAAAATTCCTTATTTATTATTTATTTATTTCTTTTTTCTTCTGCACTTTGAACCTTAATTTGACCCCCTGAACATTGATGAAAAGTTGTGAAATTTTGCCCAAAATTCAGAACCGGTGAAAAATTAATTTTTTTGGTGTTTATTTTTATGGGACTAAAAAAATGTCAGAATAGCGCCCCCTACAAAAGTCAGTTTACATTGCGCCTATGGGAGGGGGTCGAAGGTCAAGTTTGTCGTAGAGCCACGAAATTCGGTACACATGTTCCTCAGGCCAAGACATGAAAAAAAAGTTATTATGGCTCCGCCCCCTGACAAACAGGAAGCTCATTAATTTAATTGGAAAATGGAAAAATGAAAATTGATCTTTTTCACACATGTCGGCTGGAAATTATCTCCTCCTCGGCCGCTTCACCGATTTGTCTCAAAATCGCTCCACATGGTCTAAACCAGGGGTGTCATTCATACGGCCCGCGGGCCGGAACCGGCCCGCCAAGAGATTTGACACGGCCCGTGGCTCATTTATGTAAAAATATAATAAAGTTACATTTTAAAAAGCCGCTCCGCGACGCAAGGCGACGCGAGGCTCCGCGTCGCGAGGCGCCGCGCTCAGGGGTGAGTCCAGTGCGTCTGTAGTGGCTCCACCAGAGCGGTGCTGAAGGAATAACATCTTAAACTACAAGACTCGGCGACGGCACTTTGAGCGAAGAATTGAGAAAACAGAAGATAAACCTGTCTGGCCCTGAAGACACAGCAGTCTGTTTGTGCCCAGAGCGAGAGGTTAGTTCTGCTGCTGTAAAGGGAAGCTACCTGTGCTAACAACATTAGCATTAGCATCGCAGCCGCACAGTGAGAGAGAGTTTGTTAAAACTCTCACAGGCTGCAGACATGGTCTGAGAAACCACTCGCTTTTACCAACATGT